ACTCATATCATTGTGGGAAAATTCTACTACCAGTCTTTCATCACCCTAAACGAAATAGGGTGAATACATCTCATGTTACTGATTTATTGTTAGTCTCGAAACTCTACTTAAATACGAAAAATTAGCGCAGAAGCCAATGAACGAAATCAATTGTCATTTAAATTAATGTACTACTTTCTAAAAATAGTAGTAACATTATATAAACGAAATAATCGCATTTCTTCTTGATCATGAACTTGGGATAGACAAAATTCGATGTTCAACGTCTACCAATAATGTTGGAATCATTTAGAAATTGATTATTACATACGCTCAAACATAATTGTTAAATGTATGGAAAAGATATAGGTACAAGAAGCTTAGCTAAGGTGAAGATCGATGGTAATACACCGCTTAATGGTCTCTAATACATCTGTAGGGCAGAAGGAGGTCTGCATCAGTTTGGGGGGTATTCTTAATCTGTCAGAGTCATATTCAATATTCGCCAGCAGACTTGCGACATGAAACTTGCTATTTGCTTTGCGGGAATTATACGCTTTTACATTTATAGAAGGAAAGCACTCACGGAACTAATGGAAATCTTAGAAAAAGTAGACTATATTCTGGAGACGGGCGAATCCGTAAAGAGTATCTAACCCGACTAATCGACTTATTTCACCTGCAACGGTAGCATCAATGAGCAAATATCTGGTTTGCCAATTAACTCACCACTCTCATTTCTGTTGGTGAATGCCTTCATGGACAAGTTGGAGGAGAATTTCAAAATGTCATCTCAGCAGCCAACAGTAATCATGCGCTGTTTGGATGACTACTTTACAATCCAATAGGCATGTAAAAAAAATTAGACGATTTCCTGATCTTCATAAGCGAAATGGATGAAAGACTTAAATTTACCATGGATGTGCAGGAGAACGGAGACCTACCTTTCTTGGATGTGGAGGTCATGTGCTCTGAGGAAACTCTCAATGAGCTACCTTTCCGAAAGAAATCGCATGCTAGAATAACTCTTAACTTTCAGTCGAACCAGACTTATGGAATGAAGATTGGAATGCTCCAGAGTAAAGTCATAAGAAGCCTACGACTCATTGATTGTGAGTTCTGGTAAGAGGAACTGGAAAAACTAACTCAGGTGTATCTTAGGGACAGATATCCAGAAGAAGGAATACAACACAACATACGGATGGTAATGAACAGATGGAAGGACGGAGATCATGAAAGTAAAGCAAGAGGAACAGAGCCAAAAGGATAGATATGTCTACCCTCCTGTGAATTGGCTCGGAAACTGCGGCCGATACTATGGAAATAGAACACTCTTTCAGCCCTGAAGGAAAGGACAACCCTCTTCACCAGCTTGCCCACACAAAATAAAGAGGTCAAAAAAATGGAGTGTAAGAAAAAATACATCGGAGACATCGGAAGGGCAATCAGCACAATGATCAAAGAATAGCAGTGACTATGCAGAAAAATGGATACAGAAAAGTCAGAAACAGTTGAACACATTGCCCTGACCGACCACACAATTGGCTGGAGTGCAACGGAAAGAATGGCCTAATATGAGGAGAACAGCAGAAAGTGGAAGATCAGGGAGGCTGTAGACGTCCTCTTTCAAAGCAACCTGATGAAGAGGAGATTGCAAGAAAGGATGGTCAGCGATAATTTTTCGTATTGCCTGGGCAGACCTGGAGATTCAGCAAAAATCTCAAAAAGAAGTCGTGTGGATCCAAAAAAACTGTTCAACAACAGAAGGAAACATCGCAAAGAAACGGCTCATGAGGGACGAAGGAAAGTCAGAAAAAGGCGATTGAAATAAGAATAGGCAAACCTGGAATCAGCCAAAAATTTACTCTGTGAGACGTAGGATATGAGATTATAGGCTAAATGTATAGGTTGGGCCTGCATGGGAGGGGAATGGTGACATACTTGATCACGGGGAATACCAGCCAACACACACATAGGCATCCTAGTACCCAAGGATTAGATGGGAATGTCAACTTGAGATACGAGAGAAATATGCTTTTCGCAATTCAAAGGGAAAAACATGGAAACGGTGCATTTTCACACCAGCAGTTATGACCTAAAGAACGGAATACGATGTGGGTTGGGATAAGAAATTAGATAACCGAGTCATGACTTTGAAGATTAGGGAGAGTTTGATTCCCAGGCGCTGGTAGGGGCATATACATTGGCATCATCTATTATGAATCCTAGACTATGGCGTAATCGGAGACTGGAATTGAAGGCTCCTAGGCAGCCAGATTCCAGACAGTCAGACAGTGATATGAGATGTATTCAGCCAATTTCGTTTAAGGTGATGAAGGACTGGTAGACGAAGAATTTTCCCACAATTTTCGAGACTAACAATAAATCAGTAATATGAAATGTATTCACCCTATTTCGTTTAGGGTGATGAAGGACTGGTAGTAGAATTTTCCCACAATGATATGAGTTGAGCTGACGTTTTTCTTTGAATTTCACATAGTCTTGCTTTCCCAAAAGTTGTTCTCATCCAGGCACCAGTGGACTGCAGTCTCGACCTCGCCTCGGTCTTATCAACACCCACAGCGGGAGTGGAACCGTGACAGAATGGGAGCTTGACACGCTAACCGCTCGGCCACACTTCCGCGAGTGAATTTGGGTCAGAGGGCAAATGTGAATTTTAAGGGGGGTCAGGCCTTTTGCCATATCATATTCTTTGGTGGGATTGTAGATGAATAATTCGATGAATACATCTCATACTACTGATATACTGGTAGTTTCGAAACAATACTTAAATACGAAAAATAAAGTCATAAGTGGTATTGAAGTGTAGCAGTCACAAAGTGCCAAGTGGAGTAGGAGAAAGGAGCCTGAATGAAGGTCGGGAGCCCGGTGGTGGAGATGATTACGCTTCACTAAGCCCACCTGTAGCGACGCAAAATTAGGCGACGTTGGAGGGAACGAGATCACATAATTGTATGAAGAAGTGGATGGGCCATATGAAGTGGGGTTGAGAGAAGGAGATGCGGAACAGGAATGTAGGACAAAAAATAGGGGAGTAGTATGACGCTAGAAAGTTTGAACAGAAAAGTGGTCAAGGGGATTGCCTTCACTTGTCACTTTGATTAGTTGCAACTCTGTGCTGATGCATTTGGGAATGTACCAAATAAATGGCTAGATGCTGAAAATT